CGAACACCACTGTAATCGCCGCCTTATGCAATCTTACCAATTACCTCCCTCTCAGCCCTGGAACCTGCCTCAGGCTAATCTCGCACCACATGATCGCGCACATCGATGTCATGATCGGTAACGCTCCAATATCCAAGGCCGAGAGACTGGCTTAGAACCATATATAACAATGTGCACTTAACACAATGTTGCTTTTTTCACTACAGAGACATTTAAACAATTGATCTCGTATAATCGTATAATGGAGAGGGTTCACCCTGGTGATTCTCAGCGTGTTTTCGACACTGGCATTATCACAACTAAATTTCACCAAAATAAACTGGCAAGGTCAAATCCGACTGGAGAAAAGTTGAAGGGAAAACACACAGTCGGGTCGACAGTTGTTTGTATTTCACACGAAGAAAACAACAGGACATTTGATGCCACTCTACTTGCACACCGCCACCACTCCAGAAATCCCAGAGTAGTCGCCAAAGTCCGTGCAGCATTGCTTGAAATACGGCAGTTTCGGGCTCACACCTTCTCCAGAAGGAATTGTGCACTGCAACAAACCAATCTGGTCAGCCAAACACCATTTGGTCCGCTGAATTCAAAAATTCGACTCACCTCCTTGTTGGCGTAGGTAGAAGCCGGTCCAACTGAGCCACCCCAGTTCGAGCCACGGCAACAGTCGCTTGTGAACTGCTCAAAGTTGGATGAATCCGCCACACAATGGCAAGCTGTGTAGGTGATGGTTGCCGGCGCAGAGTAAGCTGCGGGGACAATTGCGGAGACGAAAAGAGCAATGGAAAGCAAGACCCGCATGATCGACTCGATTGTTTTTTGGATGCTTTGATGTGAACGGGGGAAATGGGGGGATACCGGTGGTTTTTAACGACGAGGCGGATGATTTTTGGACGTGTAACGTGATAACCTTCCGAAATTTTTCGGTGAGTAAAATAATTCGCCCCTCACCCCAGCATCAATACACAGGGACAACATGTCCTTCTCATCTTCACCTGCCTCCTGGTTGGAAAATTCGACCCATAGATATATCGTACCAAGATACGTCCTTGACACTAATAACTCCCGTGATACTAACACTCAGTTCTTGAAGAAACCATTGTTTATTGTTTGACGTCTGACCTTTATAATATTGCATGTTGCACAATGTGACGCATTTAGGGGCTCGTCGTCCAGGTGAACTCGTTATTTCTCTTGCATAAAGAGAATGGAGGGTTCACAATCCACGCACAGATTGGACATGCCCATAAACAATCAGCCCACCCTCGTTTACTGTCTCGGAGGAACGAGAATCTTCTGTACTCTGAATGTGCCTGTTGCTCATAGGTATGTGGGAATTCGGCTGTCTCGAACATTTTTGGCGCGGGTGTGCGAGATAAACTAAGTTTAATGAGAAAATTTGATTGATGACAAAAATTCATCCACATCAAACACAAAATGTTCAACCCATCAGCCAACGGTGTACCAACTGTTGTGTTGAAAATGAACTTGCGTTGATGTGTCAATCTCACAGCTTGCGTGTTGGTGACCACTTTTGCCCCAACCAACATCCTTACTTTAAACTCAAGTGGATCAGGGTCGCCAGATCACGCTCTTCATTTGCGCATAATCGATCACTGAAAATCTCACGATGAGCACCGCAGTTAAGCTTCCTGAGAACTCTTACATTCAACTGGGCAAACTAGCCTCAAGGGTCTCCAAGGTAAAAGGTCAGCTCAAACTAAAAATACAACTCATTTTCAAGCTACTGTAGATCTGCGTTGGATGCATAATCAACCCCACTCTCATTGACCCTCCGCCCACGTTAAGGGAATCTGTGGTCATTTGGTCTGGCCACACGGCTTCTGTCACCAGAAGTTCTCTGTCGGATAATACTTGGGATGATGGTCACTACTTTGTCTACAGATTCTTATGGAGCCATATATTTGGCTCGCTGTTCTCCAAGGGAAGTGTTGTTAGTGTGGGATACCTGAGGCTAGTTGAAGATCGGCGGCTAGTCAACAAGTGCAGGCTTGAGTTGCAGGCACATTTTTAGCAGTTTGCGAGTTGTCGCTCAATAGAAGACTTCGGACGACAGCTTCTTTCGATCTCTACCAGGTCCACTGCTGCGGACAACAACGACACTCCTATTGAGGAAACCATGGAATCTAAGTTCTGAACGATCTCATACGCGCTGGGAAGGTGCAGTACATTGCGCGCCTGCGTTGAGCATGTGTACACTTGGCAGTTTGCAAACGCCAACGCTATCGCTGAGAAGAATGGATAGGCCCTAGTTTTGTGTCCATGCAATCATAAACTTAAACAAAACTTTGGAAAGGAACTAACACAAGGCAGTGTAGTCCAAGCCCATATATAAGAAGAAAAACAGGAGTGAGTAGATAAGATAAAACCCCCTCACAAAAAGAGCGAAGAATGTGAAACATAATTTTTTTTAACAATATTATTTATTTATTTTGCACATACAATGCATAACAAAAAACAACACCCAAAGTGCCTTACAAGATGGTCATGGACGAGCACATAGGGAAGTGCGCGCAGCATAAGGAAAAGCAACAAAGCGAAACAGAGAATGTAAACTCAAACCTGTGGCTACCCGTCAGATACTGCTAAGGTGCCAAAAATCAGGTAAGTAATAAATAATGAAAGAAGAAACTGTAAAAGATCCACAAATGCAGGGCCAAAGAGGGAGTCTGGAGGAGAAACTTCTAATGGCAGACCCATATAGTGAAGCCAAATCTTATGGAGACAACCAAAAACTAGATACCACGGTGCAAGATTCGCTGGATTGACAATGCGAAGTGGACGAAGGCTATCAATTGCAACGTCAAGCGGAAGTTGTAAAACAGGAATAGGAACAGGAGGCAACAATAGGTCAAGACGCAAACATTCTGAAACATGAGATCTAGAGAGAGTTGCAGTGCGGCAGCGACAACACTGCTTGCGGGTGATAAAACAAACGTCCAAGACGATACTGCAGATGCCTCAAGATTGACGAAATAGGGAAGTATGGAGGAGCAATTGCTAGCGCATGAGGGTGTGTGCAGATGCAAGGGGAGCAAAGCTAGCAGCTATAGAGCCATAGGCAGATGAGGCGACTTGGTGAAAGTGATTTGCGATAACATCAGAAGGTTTGGGAACTACAACATTTGCAGCCGGGAAGAGGAAGTGATTGTTGAAAGGGACAGGAGAACAACGAAAGTGCTTTCCCTGGTGAAGAAAGAATGACAACATAGAGTGAACCATATCAGGGGCATCATCATCCAGCCAACGTTGAAACATCTGAAACTGCAGATATTGAAGCCGAAACTGAAGGTCAGGAAACTTAAAAAACAGTAAAACCCCAGCAATTGAAGTGGAAAATGAAAGGCGAAGAAATCGACACAAACTTTGATGAATAAAAGTCCGAACTGGTTTGCAAACAGCAACAGAGGGAAGAATAAAATATCAACCAAATTCAAGCATAGGTCGAATAAAAGACAAAAACAAATGACGAACCACAACCAGAGAATGAGAACCAAAAATCCTTGAAAAAGAAAGCAAAGCAAAAGAAGCTGCGCGCGCTTTGGCAAGTCGATGGGAAATAGTCAGTGAAACATCAAATCCAGTATCTCCAAAAAAGCAACCCAGATAACGAAATGAAGGCTTGACAGGCAGAGTTTGACCATGAAGAAGCAAAGGCGAATTAGCAGGAATAGAAATTCTTGTGAGAATCACAGACTTCAAAGGAGCAAAGAAAAACCACGAGCTTGGGCAAACTGGTCACAAACAGAGAGAAGAACCTGCATAGCATCCAAAGTAAGTGTAAACAAGGCCAAATCATCTGCAAATAAAAAAGAATTATATCGTGGTTTGGCAGGATGAAAGAGTGTTATAGGTGGGGCAAATAGTCGAAGGAGCCCTGTTGAGGATCAAGAAAAGTGATATAGAGAAGTGGACTGAGAACAGACCCTTGAAACAAACCTCTAAACAAATCAAAAGCATCTGAAAAACAATTTGCAACAACCACTCTGGAAGAACAAAAATCAAACAGAGACTTCAAAACAAAAACAAATGGCAACGGTACTCCCCTAGAAAGAAGCTCAGCCCAAAGAATTGCACGATTTGTGGTGTCATAAGCTGCTTGAATATCTAAAAAACCAGCAACCCAAGGAACCTTGGCATTAGACGCACGGGAGATACATGCCTGAAGACCAAAAACACATTCCATTCCCGAGCGGCGTGATTGAAATCCCGCTTCAAAAGGATTGGGCGTTAAATTTTTTTTTTTTTTTGAATAATATTATTTATTTATTTGCACATACAATGCATAACAATAAACAACACCCAAAGTGCCTTACAAGATGGTCGTCGACCAGCACATAGGGAAGCGCGCAAGTCGGAGGGCAAAGCGAAAGAGAAATCTGAGATCTTAAAACTCATTCCTGTGACTACTTCTAAGGCTCTGCTCATGTGTCAAATTTTTTTTTTTTTTTTTTTTAATGTTATAACATGTATTGACAATGCTTAATCAGTACATGTCACCCACGTGTACTTCAACCAAGATTTGGAATCTTCAGTACTTGGGGAGCCGTGCGAGCCGTAGGAAAGAGGAGCGAAGGCAATGGCGAATCGAAGGAGGTGTGGCGCGGTACTTGCACGTGACATGATATTGCGAGAGATATATTTCGTAGGAAATTCGAATCCAGTCCCCTATAGGATTCGAACCGCGGAGTTTAGCTTCGAAAAGTCGCATTCGTACCGACTGAGCCACTATGAATTTTTTTTTTTTTTTTTTTTTTTTTGAACAATATTATTATTTATTTTGCACATACAATGCATAACAAAAAACAACACCCAAAGTGCCTTACAAGATGGTCATGGACCAGCACATAGGGAAGCGCGCGCAGCATAAGGAAAACCAACAAAGCAAAACAGAGAATGTAAACTCAAACCTGTGGCTACCCGTCAGATACTGCTAAGGTGCCAAAAAAACAGGTGAGTAATAAATAAATCGGAACGCAAAGGTGGTCCAGTGGTAGAATTGCCGCCTGCCACGCGGCAGACCCGGGTTCGATTCCCGGCCTGTGCAATAGACTGCTCCGTAAATTTTGGTTTGACATTTGTTTAATGTGTTTCTTTTAACATGGCAGTATATATGTACAATCTGGAGTTTGTACGTGAATGGAGTTTCAATTCTGGACTGTTACAATCAGTCTAATGCTTAACTCCACTGTTCTCAAAATCAGGAACATCAATGGGATCACACTGTTCCGACAGGAGAACCAAGTTATCCGCAAGCACCGTGCACTGCATCAAGAGTTCATTGTTCTCGATTTCAAGCTGCTCAAGTGATACAGCCGATTTAGCAAAACCTTAATTAAGTGCATCAGGGACAGTGATCTGGCCAGATCTAACAATGTCCTCCAATGAATACATCAACAAAAACACATTCCTCCACGCATTGCGAGGTTCCTCCAAGCGCTGTGCGAGATGCCGCAATCGTTCCTGAGGTTCCAAAGGCTGTCCAACATGAGCCCTCCCCAAGCGATCCTGAACCCTCGAAGTTGTCAACATATTGTGCTCAGAAAATGCATAAAATAATCGAAACTGATCGCCTGTAATTCGGATTATTCAGGGAAGTGTTTGTTTAGCTCGTAATACGTTCCTGAGTGAACGCACAAAAAGGACCAAAATGGTCTTGGATGAAACTACCACCTGTTAAAAACCAAGGGTTTTGTTAGCAGCGGTACGGCGTTTTTAGCTGTACTGTAGCTAGCACAACAGCTCCAGGCTCCGCCTCTTGGCCCAGTTGAATATGGGTTATGATAAAGCAAACTTCCCTTGTTGCACACAAGCACTCTGTGGCTAATACGAATCAAGGCTGGATTGCCTAACCAGGAAGACTGTGGTTTGTGAGTGTGTGGTTTGTTCCACTGTCTCCTTTATTTATGCCTGTGGTGTGTGAGTGTTTGGTTTGTTCCACTCTCTCAAGGAACCAGCCACTCTCACACCCTCACTAAATATTCCCACACAGAAATTGACACACCCTAACAAGAACATTAAACAATGACAATAAAGAAAATAAAACAGCATGACTGCCCTAAACATAAATCAAAGCAATAGCATATAAAACTCTCAAGCCCAAGAGTAAAACCTATTGCGCAAAATAATGGGTAAGCCCTCCAAGGATACACAGAATTTAACAGGTGCCAGTCGAAGATGAGCTTTTGGGTCACCAAAGCTCATGCCATCAGATAAACTCGAAAAAGAATGAAAACACCAGCACAGCAGAAGTTATGGTTGTCCTGGTGCTTTTCCTGAGAGAATCTCGGAAGGAAGCTACAGGCAGAGCAGGGGAAGGGTTTACAGCAGTAGTGGTTGTGATAGTGGTTAAGATTGATGAGACCGAGAGGCAGTCAGTTCAGGTTCAGGTTCAGTTGAGTGGAGTATTCGAGAACGAGGCCATGTCGGTTTCAGCAGGTTGAGGTAAGCAGCACCAAGCAGCAGTTGGTGGTAGTGAGGAATGTGGCTGTGAGTTGTTGCTGTTGAATTGAATTAGAACTTTAGGATTGAATGAATGGATGTGTGTCCATTATTTGCTGACTGGGATATCACGTGAGACCACGAGCTGAACACCTCTTCATATGAGTATCATGCGTGTGTATATATGCTATCCACTCTTAATCACTCTTGCTCTTCTCACGCCGCTGCTCCACAACCACCGACACAAACGCAACCACCACCACCATTGCCAGTCCCTCGCCAACATACGCTACCGTAGACCCCACTATCCAGTACAAACTGCATCCCACAAGCGGCCCCATCGCCCGCCCAAGCTGTCCTACTGCCCTAAATGTCCCAAGCACCTTCCCCCTCTCCCCTGCCCCATCCACCTCCTCCCCCCCAGTCATGCTCGCCAGGCTCGTCAAGCAACTCACGACCGTCCCGCTCGTAAACGCCTGCAGCGTAGCTCCGATCCACAGCATCCACTCCCGTCCCCCGCTCATCCCCATCACCACAAACCCCGCCCCGCACGCCAACATCCCTTGCATCGCCATTGTCTTCTCGCTCACGACTCTCCCCGCCATCCGCCGCACGTAACCCCCTTGCACGAGCGCGGAAAGCAACCCCATGTACCCTAGCATCATCCCCTGCCGCGCGTGGGAAAAGTCGAACCGGTCGTGCGTCAGGAACGTCAACGTGAACTCCATCCCAGAAAACAGAAGCAGGTACACGAAATGCACCACAGACAAGTTCGTCAGCTGCGACGGCTTTGCTCCGTTTCCCCTGCTCGTCGAATTCGAGCCCTTCACGTCCTGCTTTGACTTTTTCTTTTGCACCTTCTTCTTCTCCCCGACCACCTCGTCGCTAAACACCCGCGTCTTGAAATCTATCGTCTCCGGAAGCGATACAAACATGTACACCGACTCCACCACGATCAGCGCCAGTGCGAACAGTGCTGGCCCCGAGTACTCGTTCACAGGCAGCCACGCAGGCACCCACCGCTGCATGTCCACTTTCGTGGCAAACCACGCCCCGAGCGATGGCCCGAGCGTAAACCCGAGTGAGAACGCCACGCCCACTAGAGCCTAACACCGAAAAAAAGAAAACAGTGTTGTCAGCTGTACGTTGCATCCATACTCTCTATTCCTCGCCACTCACCATGCCTTTCGACCGCGTCTCTGGCGTCGTCACATCCGAAATCATCGCCATCGACATCTGCACATTTCCTTCCGTCAAACCCCCCACGATCCTCGACAGCACAAAAACCTCAAAGCTCTTCGACACGCTCCACAGAATCATCGAAACTCCATTCCCAATCTTTATATCAAAATATACCATCAGCTCTAAAAAAAAACTGTTCGGGACATTTCTTTACCATGGAAATCAACAGGATGGTCCGTCGACCGTACTTATCGCTCAGCGACCCGATGATAGGCGAGCTCACAAACTGCAGGAACGAAAAGATCCAGCCCACGGCTCCGCCGAACAGCACCACGTCGAGATGCGACCCGCTGCCCCCGATCCACACCCTGAACCTCCTCACCCACCCCATCATCACATAATACGTCGAGCCCTTCAAACAGCCAACAACCAAAAAATCAATATCAAAGAAACAATTTCGTTGGTGTTTTTGTATTTTCGTTTCAAAAACTCACGGGGTCCGAACCGTCTTTGGCTTCGTAGTACCGCAGTATCCGCGGGAACAGAGGCAGGATCACGGTGAACGCGAGGATGTCGATCAGCAGTGCAGTGAAGACCGTCGTCAGCGTCCGAGAGACAAACTTTTCGCGCTCGGTCTTTGCTTGGGGCATCTTTTTTGCGGGTGTATCTGGGGACGTGCTTGCGGAGGATTTCGAAGCTGCCGGCAGGCGTGGTGAGGGCGGCACCGCTGGAGCTTTGGCCGTTCGCATGGCGAATGATCGAAGGCTAGGGCAGGGAACGCCACGCCGTAGAGGTAAAAACTTAGGGTTGGGTCAACACGTGTCATTGGGCAGAGTGATTATTACCTTTTTTGGAATTACTTGTTCACCATTCGAAACATCTTGATTTGCTTTGTTGTGGGACTGCGCAGGGGTCGAGTTCTTGCTTGAGTTGTATTGCCGATTCTTAGGGGAGCCAGGCATTGCAGCCCAAGTTTTTCCTGGTTGGTGTTGCAAGGCATGGAGGGTGAAGTGGTTTGTTGTGGGTGTCTGCTATGACGTGAGGTGCAATGTGATGTCATTCGAGCATTGGAATTGAAATCTGGCTTCATTCCCCTCCTGTTGATCGATACAAAAGCGTTTTCGAGACATGCCATGCCTGGTAGAGGGACCAAAAAGCGTGCAGGTAGTCATGACAATGTGGGTTGAAGCGCTTCCAAGGCAAGAAAGACATTGAAGTCCTCGAGAATCCATGATTCAGGTGGGGTGTTGCAAAATTGATTAATTCTCTTGCACTCATGGTTCTTAAAAGGCAGCTGCCAGTGCAGACACAACGGTGCTGCAAAGGGACGGGATTGCTGCGAGCTCTGTTGGGATTGGTTCTTTGGGAGGAAGTGACCAGGTGTGGAATGTCATGAAGATGCTGTCGGGGGTCAATTGTACAAGAATTGTCTGAAGAGGTTCTGAATCCTGGAGAGTAGGAGTGGGCTGTTGATATAGTAAGGACTGATGCTGTTAACAGATCATGTTTTATTGAAATTTTTGCTAGGTGCACGAGAAGAAAGAAAGCAATTCCACACAGGAGGGAGATCACAACCTTGTGAAGAAGGGGTCAATTGATCAGAATCCTGCTTTGTCTGTATTTGTTGGTGTTTTTGGAGGGAATCTCTTTGTGAAGAGGTAAGATGCTGTCTAGACTGCCACAGACAGTGTCTACAGGAGTGGCTGGTAGAAACTCTCTTGTGTATTCGAATTGGCATGAGAAGTGTTGGCTGAGGTACTCTCTGAGCAACAACATATCATGTTCAACGATGAGCAAGCACTCTTTGGAGTAGACATGCATGCTCTGCAAAGCATAAAGATATCCGACAATGTGACCATCTACAGAGCCTTAAGACATAAGGATAAGATTGATTTTACTTGTAAGTTAGGTCTTCAAGTTTAGTTATTATGTTAGTTATGGATTGAATTGACCATTTAAGGCTTTCCAGTTTCATGCTGTTGCTAAACGTGACAAAAACACAAAGTGCAGCAAATTTGAGGAAAATTGAGTCCTTCATCACTCAAAACGTTGCGTGGCAGGTTGGCAGCAACACGTCCCGATTCCAGTGGTTGATCTCGACAACAATGAGATATCCCCTGTTGTCTGGATAGATTGACTTCAACCTGACACATTGGTTTGCATCATTTTTGTTGTTCAAACTCATTGATACATGAAGCAAAACCAGACTACTTGCAACGACGAACTTGAGATTCAGTCAAGCCGGATTCTTCATTTGATCCTTTCACTGTTTTTGCAGGAGCAAGAATCAACAGCGAGTGCAACAAACACAACAGGTGATCTTGGATATAGCAGCCTCTCGGTGGATGATCTGGAACAGCCTCTGCATTGCTGAGAACTCGAGATCATGGATTAGACTGGGCAATGGAATGGAATGCCAGTTCA